AAAGGTATTTACAATGAATAAGTCATTGGTCTTGCAAAAATTCTATCATGCAATTTCCAGCGTCATTTCTGTCACCAAGGCCAAATTTTCCAACTACTGATGATTCTTCTTTGTTTCCAACTTTTGCATTCCAGTCACCAGTGATAATTAACACATCCTGATTGCATATTCGGTCAATTTCAGAGTACAGAAGCTGGTAAAAATCTTCAATTTCCTCATCTTTAGCTTTGGTAGTTGGTGCATAAATTTGAATAGTCATATTAACTGGTCTTCCTTGTAGGTGTATGGATATTATCCTATCACTTACAGCTTTGTACTTCAGGACAGATTTTGAAACATCCTTTGTAATGATGAATGCCATGCCATTCCTCTTCAAACTGTCATTCCTGGCATAGTCGACCACATGGTGGTCTGATTCAAAATGGCCAAAACTTGTCCATTTCTGCTCACTAATGCCTGGATTATCAATCTTTATACGCTCCATTTCATTTTTGATAACTTCCAATTTTCCTAGATTCATGCTTCATACATTCCATGTTCCAATGGATGGAACATGTTCCACATTCCATATTAGTGGATTTGCAGCTGCTTCTTCTCAATTTGAGTCATGCCATGTCAGCACATGGAAGTCTTGAAAACTTTACTTTATCCATATCATTAAGTCTGGTTCTACTCTGATGACACCACTCTTTCCTGGTCCTGTTTTGAGAGCCTTCTGACCTAAGTGGCTTATCCTCCTGCACTGTATTGGACATTGTTTCTGGGCTGTTCATAAAGTTGCACAGTAATGAATCAGACAGTATTTCCCTGCTATTCATAAGGTTTTCCCTAGTATAGTCATCCTAGTAGCTATAAAATGGTATCTTACTGTCATTTTTCTTTTTAAATTTTTTCTTTAAATATATTTTGTTGTTGTTGAGAATATATATAGCAAAACATTTACCAATTCAACAATTTCTATAATCAATTTAGTGGCATTGATTATATTCTTTATGTTGTGCAAACATTGTCACTCTCTTTTTATGAGATGTTCCTCCTTCCTTAACATAAACTCTTTCAAGTTGCTTTTGTCAATTTGATCCCATATGTTGTTGTTAGGTGCCATCAAGTTAATTCCAACTTATAGCAATCTTATGTTCAACAGAATGAAACACTGCCCTGTCCTGCACCATACTCACAGTCCTTGCTGCATTTGAGCCAATCATTGTAGCCACCGTGTCAATCCATCTTGTTGACGGCCTTCCCCTTCTTTATTGACCCTCTATTTTACCAAGCGTGATATCCTTCTCCAGGGAATGGTCCCTTCTGACAACATGACCAAAGTAGGTGAGATGAAGTCTGGACATTCCCACTTCCAAGGAGCATTTGGCTGCACTTCTCCCAAAACAGATTTTTTTTTTTTTTTTCTTCTGCTGGCCCATGGTATTTTCAGTATTCTTCCCAACACCCCACTTCAAAGGCATCAATTCTTCTGTCTTCCTTATTCATTATCCAGCTTTTGCAAGTATATGAGGCAATTGAAAATACCATGGCTTAGGTTAGGTAAGACTTTTAAGACCTTAGTCTTCAAAGTGACATCTTTGCCTTTCAATACTTTAAAGAGATCTTTTGTAGCAGATTTGCCTAATGCTATCCTATATAAAAGAGCATGTTCAAGGCAGACCTTTTTCACTAGTTAAGGTAAACTATTGTTTGATTTTAAGACTTCAGGGATATTTTATTTTTGCTTTAAGGTTTAAAGATGATCTCCAGAGAATAGTTTGTGGGATTCAGCTGTCTTCCATGCTTCCAGAAACTCTAGAATCCATGAGAATTTGAAATTCTCTTCTCCATTTTCCCCTTTTTGATCGTGATTCTTCTATGAAATCCTTGATTAAAATGTTGATCAAATGTTCAGCAATGGTAGCCTAGCAACATCCAGTTCTTCTGGTCTGATGACAAAGGAGGCAATTCTTCATGGAAGCAGTTAGCCACATACTACATATCCTCTTCCTATTTCTCACTCTCCTTCTTCCTCTCTTGTCCTAGGTGAATAGATAATAATTGTCATGCCTTGGATGACTACTTGCAAGCTTTTAAGACCCCATACACACAACACAACAATCTAGGCGGTAGAACAGAATCACTAACATGTTATTAGGCCAGTTAACTGATGATATATTCTGTGTAACTATGACCCTAAACCTCTAAAGCACAGAACCAAATCCCATGCAGAGTTTGGTTGTACATAAACAGCCTTAATAGCTACTTTATTTATCATACAACTTTGACAGAGTCAACTGTTTTATAAGTATACAACTTATTGACAGCAATTACATTAATTGACTGTGCAGCCCTACCCTTAATCAATGTGATTTTTCCATCACCATAAACCTTCCCTTCATTGTGATTTTGATTTACATTTCCCTATTGACCTTGAGCATCTTTTCATGTGCTTATTGGCTGTTTGTATGTCTTCTCTGGTGAAATGTTTTCAGATCTTTTGCTCATGTTTTAAATTGGGTTATTTTGTCTTTGTTGTTGAGTTACAGAAGTTCTTTATATATTCTGGATACAAATATCTTTTCAGATATAAAATTCGTGAATATTTTCTCCCATTCTGTAGGTTTTCTTTTCACTTGATAATGTTCTTTGATGCACAAAAGTTTTTAATTTAGATGCAGTTCAGTTTATCAGTTTTTTCTTTCATTGTTCATGCTTTTGTGTTGTATCTAAGAATCCGTTGCCAATTCCAAGGTCATGAAGATTTATCCTTATCTTTTCTTCTGAAAGTTTTTTGGTTTTAGTTCTTATATGTAGATCATTGACCCTTTGAGTTAATTTTTATATATGAAGTGAGGTCGGGGGTCCAACTTTATTCTTTTACCCATGAATATCCTGTTTTTCTGGTATTGAAGAGACTTTTCTTTCCTTGTTGAATGGAGTTGACAGTCTTGTCAAAAATCAGTTGACTATAGATGAATGGTTTTATTTCTGGACTCTGAATTCTTTTCTATTGATTTATATTTCTAATCTTTTTTCTTTTATTGTGATTTGAATGAAGATTTGCAGAGCAAATTCACTTTCCATACAGCAGTTCACATATATTTTGTCTCATGACATTGACCACAGTTCACCACAATGTAACAGCTCCCCTCCCACTTCCTCCCCATAGTTACCTCTTCCCAGTGTCCATCCCTCCATCCTCTCCTGCCCCCTGACCTGTCTCCCTGTGCCTAAGCAGCCCTTCTTTCTCCCATGATTGTTCTCTCCAAGGAGTGTATCTACTTGAGGTAAATGTTCAACTCATATGCCTGTCTTTTGTTTGGCTGGAAACCACAGGTGTGGGTTCAATTCCACACCTGAAAGGCAGCTAGGGACCGTAGTCTCAGTGGTTCCACCAGGCTCTATCGGACCAGCAAACCTGGTCCCCACCTTTCCGCCTTTTTTTTTTGCCTCCAAATGATTTTGAGTTTTGTTCCACATTGTTCTCCCTCTCTATCAAGGGTCTCCTACATAGATATATTTCTAATCTTATACCCTTACTACACTGTTTTGATTAGTTTTGTAGTTAGTTTTAAAATTGAGAAGTGTGAGTCCTCCAACTCTGGTTATTCTTTTTCCAGATTGTTTTGGTTATTTGGTACCTCTTGTAATTCCACATGAATTTGAGGATTGATTTTCCTATTTCTGCAAAGAAGGCTGTTGGAATTTTTAGGGGTCTTACTGAATCTATGTATTCCTTTAGATAGTATTTAATGATTTAAGTTTTCCAGTCCATGAAGACAGGATGTCTTTCCTTTTATTTATGTATTATTTAATTTCTTTGAGCTGTTCTGTGGTTTTCAGTGTCCAAGTCTTTCACCTTCTTGGTTAAATTTATTCTTAGGTATTTCATTCTTTTAGATGCTTTTATAAATTGAATTATATTCTTAATTTCCTTTTCAGATTGTTCATTGCAGGTGTATAGAAACATAACTGATCTTGCAGGCTGACGTAAATCTTTTCTTAAAAGTAGAGTTTTATCTTTTTGATTTTATTGACTATATTTATCCATTATTCAAATTTTATCTTCAGAATCACTTTTTCAAGTTAAAAAAATATATCCTAATATTTATGTTGGGATTGCGTTATTTTTTATTCTTATAAAAAATTTAGGAGCTCTGGTAGCATAGTGTCTAAAGCACTTGACTGCTAACCAGAAGGCTGGCGGTTCAAACTCACCAGCCACTCCTCAGAAGGAAGGTTGGGCAGTCTACTTTTGTAGTGAAACCACCTCGCAAACCCAAGGAGAGGTTGCTATGAGTTGGATCCGACTCAATGGCGCATAACAACAAAACAAAACTTGCAGTTCTACATTGTGATTGAGATTCTTGCCTCCTGTTCCCTGTTCTTCCTCCCCAGACCCTATTATTAATGGATGAAGTTCTAACTTGTTATCAAGAGACATAGACAAATACTGATGGAGGTGAGAGTAAGGTATAAAATAGCTGTGGCTGATAGGAAACCATTGAAAAACAGGGTATCTTTCTGAAAAGTAAGGATAACTTTCTTACTTTGATGGATGAAGCTGGTTTCCCTGAAGTAGGGTAAATGATAAAGCAGGTACAAGCCTCCTATTGTCTTTATCTGACATGACTATTCTACACTTTCACTTACGTATATTATTCTTGAGATAAGGTAGAGTTTTGTTTTTCTTCTTAGTTTCCAAGATTCTTAAGATGTTTTACTCTTTTCCATAAGTTATTGGATGAAGAGAGTTGGGGAGAATAAATCAGACAGTGAGAGCACGTTTCCATCTCAACATAGCAATTCTAGAACCATTTTCTCCATTTTCTTTGGCAGTGTTAGGGATTATTAAAGTAACTAGATATTTGACTTCCTGAAGAGTGGGTTATTACCCTATATACCTTGAGATCTTGTGTCTGTGGGTGAGTACAAAGGTTATTTCCTATGTTTATGTTTCAGGGATATTGTTTCACTGTAAATAATGAAAAATGCCCTCACCTATCTGTTTTTAGGTCGGAATGCTGCGTCAGCAGGTAGAAGAACATGAAAAAGTCAAGCAAGAAATGGCTATGGAGTATAAGCAAGAGTTAATGAAATTACATGAAGAAGTGAGATTTAATTCTGTTATATGTTGTGTAATTCTGTCTCTTTAACCCTTTGAGAATTTTGCTAATGAGCCATTTTCTACTTCGCAAAGTGGAAAATCCTATTCCATGGGAGGTTCAGGAGTGAAAATCTATGAGTCAGAAATGACAGCAGTGGGTTTGTTTTTTTGTTTTTTTGTGTCCACACAAAGAATCTTGCTAATTATGTGTCTTATGCTACCTGGAACAGGGATGCTAAAATGTGTCTCTTGGTTGAGTACCTGAAAGAAGTAGAGCTGATTTTGCATAATACTGTGAAGTATTTATACCAAAAACTTAACGTTTAAAATTTTAATTTTTGAATCAGTCAGTGACTGTTGTTATTTGACGCCAAGTCGGACCCGACTCATAGCAACCCCTCCTTGGATTTCTGAGGCGGTATCACTACGGAAGTAGATTGCCCAACCTTCTGGGGAGTGGCTGGTGGGTTTGAACCGCTAGCCTTCTGGTCAGCAGTCAAGTGCCTTAGGCACTACGCTTCCAGAGTTCCTGAACGATCACTAGATTTTAAATAATGGAGTATCCAAAGCTTTAAAACACATTTTGAGGTAAAAACTCTAAAATAAAAAGTTCTGTTAACTCAATTTTATTCTTCAGGTTGGGCAAAAGAAGTAATTTTATTTTAATTTTAAAGTATTTCTCTCCTGCTTATTGAATTCCAGTATTCCACATGAGCATGGCTTAAGAACCACAGGCCTAGAAGAAAGGAAAAGAGTTTTTATTTACTGCTTAATTTTGTGTGTGTGTGTGTGTGTGTGTGTGTGTGTGTAGTTGGGGAGAGTTGCTTAGGGACAAGGCTACTGTAATAAAAAAGTTCTATTTAAAAAATTTTTTTTTTCCTCTACTCAATATATTTCTTTGTCAGTCCTTATTTTCCATATGTAGTTTTAGTTTTGTTTTGAATTTTAGTTTACAAATCTAACATGCTTTAAATCTATTTCTCAGAGTACTATTTAGTACCTGCTCTTGCTTTTAAAATACTAATTTGTCCCATTACCATTGTTTGCAAATTCTTAAATTGTAATTATAGAAATAACTGTCTCTACAGTTAGGTAGACTGAAGAGAAGCTATGAAAAGCTACAAAAAAAGCATATAAGAGACTTCAGAGGTAACACCAGAAGTCACAAGGAGGATCGGTGTGAAATTGAGAGGTTAACTGGAAAAATAGAGGTATGTTCTTGATAATAATTTGTTCACAGTGATTGTAAGCCTTCATGTAGGAAAATGCTATTTCTGATAGTGCTGTTTCCTAAAACCAATTTTCTCCCATCTCCAGGACTGCTGCTGAGCTATCTCAAAGGTGGGTGGGTGATCTACTGTATATCCTATCATCACCTGGCTCCCTGTGGTTAATGCCGTTACTAGCTATAAGTAATTCTCAACAGAACATTCCAACCCTTAGAGGGCTTTTGGAAATGTACGGAGACTCTTCTCTGGTGGTCAGAATAACTGAGAGGTGCAGCTGGCCTTTAGGGGCAGAGACTAGGGATACTAAACATACCCAGGACTGTCCCACACAGGAAGAATTATCCCAGACAAAATGTCAGTTAGTTTTGTCCATTGAGAAACATGATTGTCATGGGAAGTATCCTTGTTTTCCTTTTTAAGTCATTGTATTTTGAGCACCTACTAGGGTAGGGGCTTAGTAAATGTTGAAAGTACATAACTGTTTTTATACAGAGAGCCCTGGTGGTGCAGCAGTTAAGCACTTGGCTGCTAACTGAAAGGTCAGGAGTTTGAACCTACCAGCTACTCAGCAGGAGAAAGATGTGGCAGTCTGCTTCTGTAAAGATTTACAGCCTTGGAAACCCTGTGGGGGTGTTCTACTCTGTCCTATAGGGTTGCTGTGAGTTGAAATGGACTTGACAGCAATGGGTTGGTACTCTTTTACGTCAGATTGTTTATCTTCAGTTCCCATATAGATCTAGTAAGCCATTCACCTCCCTTTTTTCTGTTTTTCATTAAGACCAGCTCTGTGTTTATTATGTGTATTGATTCCCTGGAGGATTTAAGGGAATCGTTGAAGTATCACTGCCAAGAGTAGATGAAGCAGCAGCATAAGGCTGTCACAGTTTTCACCTTCAATCTGTCAGTCCTTTTCTCTGTTTTTACCAGTGCCTCTCCTTCCACATACAGATCACTCACAGAGCTTTTTAGGCTCTCAGAGATTCTGAGCCTATGTTGTGGGACCTAGGAATCTGCATTTTATTAGCTCTCAGATTCTAATTTGAGAAATATTATTCAACGCTTTGTATAATTACTTACAATTTTCTACTTAGGATGTTGTCACCCACAAATGCCAGTATATTATTACTGTCTAGAACTATAATTTCTATGTTTAATATTCTTCTATATCTCTACAGTTTATTTGAAATTACATTTGAATCTGAGGATTGCACAGATGATGCTTCCCCTCCAGCCCTCTTCAGTAATCTGTTTTTTTTCCTCCAAATCCCTCATGTCCTTCTTGCTTCTCATTGCCACTGCCTGACTGTTCTTTTTTTTTAATCACAAAAACTCCATCTTTGAATTTCATTTCTGCAGCCAGTATACCAACTACCATTGCTTGGTGGAGTCATCTTCTGATCCCTGGGTTGCTCCCTGGTCTTACAGATTATAACTCCCAGCTCTTTGTCACACTCTTCAACATTACTCTTATCAGACCCTTGAGGATTTAAATATCCATAGGAGTGATTCTTAAAATACACCAACCGTTGGTTTCCTTGGCTGCCTTTTCTCCATAGATATTTTGATCTCCTCCCTCTGTCAGTTAGGAGCTCTGGTAGCATAGTGCCTAAGGCACTTGACTGCTAACGAGAAGGCTGGCGGTTCAAACCTACCAGCCAGTCCTCGGAAGGAAGGTTGGGCAATCTACTTCCATAGAGATACTGCCTCGGAAACCTAAGGAGGGGTCGCTATGAGTTGGGGCCGACTTGATGGCACATAACAACAACAACAACAACTGGGTCAGCTACTTATTTCCATTGCTGTTCCTTAGTCTTGTCATTCCTAATACTTGAAGCCCCTTCAGGACCTCATGTTTAAGCATCTCACTTTCTGTGTATTGTTGAGCTTGAAGCCATTGAGTTTGCCAGATTTCACTGCTGCAGATTGACCTTATACCCTTGTTCACCAATCCTTACCCAGCTTAAATTCTATTGTTGGTCATCATAATCACTTCTTTACATTCCCCTTCAACTTCTGTGTCCCTTTTATTTCTTCTTCATCATACTTGCTTGACAAAACCACAACCCTAGTGAAATCCAACTTTCTGCTTATTCGCTGCCCTATGTGACTGGACATGGCTGGCTGGCTCACATTATGAGTCAGAGTCAACTTGATGGCACCCAGCATCAGCCACCTCAAATGGTTCCTCCTGCTGCCCAGAATTATACTATATTTCCTCTCATTCTTCCACTTTCCACAATGACTGTTTCATACTATGTCTTTTTCCTCAAACTTCCTAGGCTTTTTCCCACATCTTGATCCTTACTTTCTATTTTGCTAAGTAAACAGAGCAATGAAAACAAAACTTTCACAGATTCCCAACACTGTATCTACCCATCTATCTGTATCTCTACTCATATGTCCCATCTTGGCTCCTAAGGGAAATGTCCTTGTTCTCCTACCCTACTCAAGATGTAACTCCAGCAGTTTTCCTCTCTTTTCTTCATCCTCATTTTTTTTTCCATCTAAAATTCTATTGTCTTAAATTTCCTCTTTTGACTCCACTTCCTTCTCTGGCTTATTTTTCTCCTTCATTCTGTAGCTAAACTCCTGTATTTGTCTCAAATTCCTTTTCTCCCATTCTTTCTTGTTCCCATTCCAATAAGCCACTTGCCCCCTCACTCTAAAGAAGCTGTTTACATGGAGGTCACCAAGGGCCGCCACATCACTTATTAAAGCTTTTGTCTCCAATATTTGACCCAGCTGATCTTTTCTTCCTGCTTAAAACACTTTCTTGACTTGCTTGGCTTCAAGAAGCTACAAGAAAGCTACACTTTCTTGGCTTTCCTCCTCCTTTACTGTTGTGGTTGTTGTTATGTGCCATCGAGTCGAACCCGACTCATAGTGACCCTGCCTTGGGTTTCCGAAGCAGTATCACTACGAAGTAGATTGTCCAGCCTTCCTTCCGTGGAGTGGCTGGTGGGTTTGAACCACCAGCCTTCTGGTTAGCAGTGCCTTAGACACTATGCTACCAGAGCTCCTTTTTTTTTCAATCTCCTTTGCTCTACGACTTTTTAATATTGGGATCCTGTCATTGGGCCTTTTCTTTTTCTGTTTGTGTTCACTCCCTTGGTGATTTCATTTAGTCTCATAGCTTCAAACACTATGTATATGTTGATATTATCCAAATTTATTTATCTAGACTTGAGCTGTCCATTATAGAATAATTTCCAACTGCTTGTTTTTTATCTACGCTTGGATGTCTAATGTTATTTCATACTTAGCAGATCCAAAACAAAGGTTTTCACTTTCCCTTCTCCATCAACACCACACCTCTCACTCCCATTTCAGTTGATGGTAAGTCCATTCTTCAGTTTATTCAAGCCTAAATGAAACCTTAATGATTCTGTTATAGTGTAACCTTACTTAAAGTTATTTCCTCTGCAAAAGCTTCCGGTAGCTTCACATAAAAGCCAAAGTAACTATAGTGAACTACACAGTCTGTTGTTGGGTGCTGTCGAGTTGATTGATATTGGTGGTTTGAACCCACCCAGTGGCTCTATGGGAAAGACCTGCTGATCTGCTTCTGTAAAGATTACAGCCAGAAGCACCCTATGGGGCAGTTCTACTCTGTCACATGGGGTCACTGTGAGACTCCACAATCTAGCTCCCTGTTAAGTCTCTGACCCTGACTCCTCCTAATTTCTCTTTTGCTTACTCCATTCCAGCCATACCAGCCTCCTTGATTTTCCTAAAATATACCACGATGCTCCCACTTCAAGGCAGTTGTAGCTGCTGTTCCCTTTGCCTGGAATAGTATCACTTTGTCCTTCATTTCCATCAGTGTTTACTTAAATATTATTCACTCAGTTTGACCATCCCTTTTCAAAATGGCAACCTCCAACTCTCTGACCACTTTATGTTCAATTTTCTCAAAATACCTATTACCATTTAATATACCATTTGTTACCCTCCAGTTGAGTAGGACTGGGGGTATTTTGTTAAATGTTATATTCCCAGTACACAGAATAATACCTAGTATATAATAGAATGGATGGATGAATGTCAGAAATCTAGTTGACAGAGAAATTACCCTTAGGAGCATGAGTCTTTGGAGGTTAGGAGCCTATTGGGCAATAGTAGACTGAGTTTCCTTTCCCTTTGATTTTGCCCCATTTTTATAACTATTTGGCTCATTTTCTTGATCATGCAATTTGAAATTACTATTGATTTTTTTTTAATTGTTTGACTTTGGGTTATGAATATCTGTTAAAATTAGTACAAATTTCCCTTCTTGTTCTTAGCTTTGCTGTTCTTCTATTGAGATAACAAAAGTTTGATATTGACCTTGTATTACCTGAATCTGTTTGGTTCCTGAGTTTTGAATACTGAGAAGTAAGAATTAGACTACCAAAGGATGTATCTGAAAATTTATTTCAATCTGTTCAGTTTTTGGGTTTAGATATCAAGAATTTGGATCATGAGGGATATTAGTAATCATATTTTTGAAGTTATATTTATCTTACTATCAATTTTACGAAAATCACTAGAAAATTACAGCGACCCTTAGGTGGCAGCAAATCTATGAAAATCATCATGAACCCAGTATTTAGCATCTGTGTCTCACTCTTCACCATTAAGATATTAAATTTAGAAAGATACCCAAGAAGCACAGTATGTAAGGAATTCAATATCACTCTGCAGTTATATCAGATAAGTGAGTAATGGGATTCCTGCTGTGGAGAAAGGTGCATGTGTACCCAGGGACATGGAGAGAAAGTAAAAGTGAATCTGGGAAGCAGTGAACAAAGGGGACGCACTCATAAGTTAAGTACCTTAATTGGCTCTTCAGGAATTTCGTCAGAAATCACTGGACTGGGAAAAGCAACGCTTGATTTATCAGCAACAAGTATCTTCTCTGGAGGCACAAAGGAAGGCTCTGGCTGAACAATCAGAGATAATTCAGGTGGGTTTAAAGTAATGAAGGCAGATAGGTTTTGATTAAATCTGAACTACCTTAATGCAACTTCCAGGTGCCAGTCTCTTTCAGCTTCTTTGCTGACCTCATTCTGTTTCTTACATAGTAGACCTCGCTCCTTCTCTGTTTTTAGGCTAATCCCCTTCAGCATCTAGACAGGCTCAAACATCTCTTCTTCACCCCACACCTCACTTGCCTCTTTCTTCCTCCCCTATTCTCTTTGCCCACCTCACCCCAACCCTCATTCTCTTTCTCCTTCTCCAGTTCCTTCTGTCTCTGCTGGTCAATCTCTGGCTCTGACTCTGGCTTTGACCTTATTTCTGTTGGTGTCTTGCTTTATCTCTCTGTGCTGAAGTGTCTGATGGCCTTCCCTGGGGGGCCTAGGCCAGAGCGCTTTAGTTGTTCTATCTGTTTTAACAGAAATGTTGAGAGAGTCACACTGCATTGGTGCGTACACTAATTAAAAACACTGTCTTTGTGGGAACAGACCTTTTTTGAAGTATGAAGCTGTAGTAGAAATCTTTCTTTTATGAAGAATTACTGCTGGCTTAAGACAAAAACAAAAAATAGACATCTAGTTTAGGAATATCTCTTCTTAAAACATATTCAGCTTGTTTGCTTTATCAATTAAGAACCAAACACATAAAGAGAAATGAACATAAAGGAAATTGAATGTTCATGGCTTTCCATTATGTGCTAGATATTGTCTTCATGCTTCTAGATGCATTTTGCATATGTTAGCTATTTAATATTATGGTAATTTGTCAAGGTTAGTAGTTATCCCACTTTTGCAGAATGAGGAAACAGACTGTATAAGTTAGGAGAGCTAGAGTAGAGGGGAGTTATTTTTTTATAATCTGTATATATTTGCTGCTTCAAGTCTTAATGTATTTATTGGCTTTTGTTAGTCCCTTTGAAATACCAGCTGGCTAATAAACTACCAAGAATGGCTCTGCTCTGAGTGACTTCGCTCAGAATGTCAGAGAAGGCCCACCTCAAGGAAGAAAATTATTTTCTAGACTGCAGTAAACTATGTAGCCAGAGCAGGCCAATGAAATCCCAGTATGCCAGAGCTGTTCTGAATGCTAAAGCACTCTACAAACATAAATAGCTGTAAGATATTGTTATATTTTAACGGTAGTCTATAGATTGGCAAAAAAAAGCAAATTGAATCGTAATTTTCACTGTTGGTCTGTTATTATCCATGGAGAGTATACTTTTTATTGATTATGCATCCTCTTTTAGTTTAATTAAAACTTCATTGTTGGTGAAAATGGGATTTTTATTTACCATAATTTTTCTAGGATTAGATAACGAAGCCTTTTAAAAGCCAACATTTATTTTCCCTACTAGGAATAGATTTTGTTTGAATTACTCTTCTGATACTTTTGTTTAACCTGTTCTCTTACTGTTTAACTAAAAAAATGTATTATTGTTACTTAAAAGTGTATGTTTCCATTTTTCTTCCTTAGCAAAGTAGAAAGTTAAATCTTTCCATGGTTCACTTTGTACCTGTGCTATATGGTCATCTTGGTTTTTAAGACTTTTAAATAACTTCTTTGTACCCATTACTCAGCATTAATAGTTACCATTTTTCCGATCTTGTTCATCCCTCTCTCCTTTTCATTTTTGGCTGGAATATTACAAAGTAAATTCTAGGTATCACCTTATTTTCCAATAGATAAGGGCTTCTTTAAAACAAAACAAAAATGTAACTACAGTATACCATTGTCATATTAATAGAATAAATAATAACTTCTTAATATTGTTTAATATAAAGTCTATTCATGTTTTCCCAATTCTGTACAAAATATCCTTTTACAGTTGAATGTTCAAGTCAGAATCCAGTCAAAGTTCACATATTACATTTGGTTGAGAAATAAATGAATGACAATAGAAAATCTGGGTGATTGGGTAAATGGGTATCAGTATCTCCCCCCATTTAAAACAATTTGATAGAATTTTTATTCATATTTTTAACAACTACAAGTGGAATTCAGAAATAACTGCTTGCGTTTTGAGTCTTAAATTTGCTTGAGTTCTTTTTATTTAATCAGTTACTAATGTAATTCATGTTAATTTTAGAAGAATGAGAAAATGCAGATGAGTTTAATAAAATTACCCATAATTATTCTACCACATAGAGATTTACCATGATTAACATTTTGTTGTAAATGTCTTCAGACATTTTCTGTGGTTATGATAGTGTACATTACATTCTTGTACACATTTGATAGGAAAAAACTGTTGGTGGGGGAGGGAGAAATGGGTAGTTGGAAACTTTAAAAATTATGAAGAATGGCAGTATGGTGGTAATTATTGAAGCTAGGTGATGAATATATATATAAAGGATTCATTGTCTTAGTCTCTATGTTTGTGTATGTTTGAAAATTTCCATAATAAAACACAGTTTTTTTACATGGTTGTTGTTAGGTGCTGTCAAGTCAGTTCCAACTCATAGCAACCTTAATAAGCACAACAAAATGAAACACTGCCAAGTCCTGTGCCATCTTCACAATCCCTGCTATGCTCGAACCTGTCATTACAGCCCCTGTGTCCATCTTGTCAAGGGTCTTCCCCTTTTTCACTGACCCTCTACTTTACCAAGCATGATATCCTTCTCCAGGGACTGGTCCCTTCTGACAACACGATCTAAGTACGAGAGATGAAGTCTGGTCATTCTTGCTTCTAAAGAGCGTTCTGGCTGTACTTCCTGCAAGACACACTTGTTTGTTCTTCTGACTGTCCAAGGTATTTTCAGTATTCTTTGCAAACACCACAATTCAAATGCATCAAATCTTCTTTGATCTTCCTTATTCATTGTCCGGCTGTCACATGCATATGAGGCTATTGAAAATACTGTGGTGTAGGTTAGGTGCATCTTAGTCTTCAAAGTGACATCTTTGCTCTTTAACACTTTAAAGAGGTCTTTTGCAGTACTTTTGTGCAGGTGCAGTACGATGTCTGATTTCCCGACTGTTGTTTTCATGGGTGTTGATTGTGGATCCTAGTAAAGTGAAATCCCTGACAACTTCAGTCTTTTCTCCATTTATCAAGATATTACTTATTGGTCAGGTTGTGAGGTTTTTGTTTTCTTTATGTTGAAGTGTAATACATACTGAAGGCTGTAGTCTTTGATGTTTATCAGTAAGTGCTTGAAGCCATTTTCACTTTCAGCAAGCAAGGGTGTGTCAGCTGCATATCACAGGTTGCTTAATACAGGTTTTGAATCGATTGAATCAACCCCTAAACCAAAAAATCAAACCCATTGCCATTGAGTTGATTCTGACTCATAGTGACCCCTATTGTTGTTGTTGTTATGTGCCGTCGAGTCAAACCCGACTTATAGCGACCCCTCCTTGGGTTTCCGAGGCAGTATCACTACGGAAGTAGGATTGCCCAACCTTCCTTCTGAGGAGTGGCTGGTGGGTTTGAACCGCCAGCCCTCTGGTTAGCACGCAAGTGTCTTAGCCACTATGCTACCAGAGCTCCCAGTGACCCCTATAGGACAGAATAGAACTGTCTCCTTGGGATTTCCAAGGCTATAAGTTTTTACAGACGCAGACTGCCTCGTATTTCTCTTGTGGAGCAGCTGGTGGGTTCAAACGACGGACCTTTTGTTTGGTAGCCCAGTGCTTTAACCATGGTACCACTGGAGTTCCTTGAACCACCCCCTACTCACAACATATTCTTCATCACAATCACCTTCATTTGCGGCACGTGTAGCTTTTAAGTCATTGAAAAGGTTTTGACACTTTTCTCGCACTAAAACAAGAAAACCAAACCCACTGCCATTGAGTCAATTCTGGCTAATAGCAACCCTGTAGGACAAAGTAGAACTGCCCCATAGGGCCAGCAGACTGGCACATCTTTTCTTCCATGGTGGGTTGGTACTGCTGACCTTTTGCTTAGCAGCTAAGCACTTTAACAGTGACACCACCAGAGCTCTCTTGCACTAAGACCCACTGCTATCGAGTTGATTCCAACTCATAGCAACCCCCATAGGGTTTCCAAAGCTGTAAATCTTTATGGAAGCTGACTGCTTTCCCATAGAACAACTGGTGGGTTCAAACCACAGACCTTTTGGTTAGCATCCAAATGCTTTAACTGCTACACCACCAGAGCTCTTTCTCTTGCACTAAAGTAAGGCTAAATAAGAACCATATGCACCTGTTCTGACTTACCTACAAATTAGAGTTAAAGACACACTTAGAAACAGTATCTTGATCATACCTTGGGACTGCCTGTATATACTGTATTGCCAAAGACTTTCACTAGCAGTATATTGAGAATATCCATTTCCTCATGCTTTGCCAACATTGGGCACTATTATTTCTTTTCATTTTCCCTACTTTTAGGCTTGTCTTTGACAATCTGATAAACCAAAAAACCAAATGCAACTGCCATCGAGTCGGATCCGACTCATAGCGACCCCTCCTTGGGATTCTGAGGTAGTATCACTACGGAAGTAGATCGCTCACCCTACCTTCCAAGGAGTGGCTGGTGGGTTTGGATAGGTGGAAAAAAAAAAAAATGGTACAAGTGAGATTGAGCAATTTTTCACCTGCTTGTAACTATTTCCATTCTTTTGTAAATTGCCTGTTAATATCCTTTATTCATTTTTCTTTTAGAATGTTTTATTTTTGTTACTATTTTGAAAGAGCTCTTCATAGATTAGAATGTTAACCCTTTGTTGTTATGTTGCAGTTTTATGTTTGTCCTCATTTTACTTTAATTTTGCTCATGGTTTTTATGAGCATACAATTGTTTTATGCATAGGTATTTACAATTGTTTAGTTATATAATTTTTTTCTTAAGGGTCTCTATCTTTGGTGTCACAGATTAAGGATATTAACCCTTGGTTGTTATGTTACAGCTGGGTATTTAAGGTCTTACGTAAGCCAAGATATCTTCTGGTGCTTTCTTTCTTTTTAAATATTTTATCTAAAATTTATTTTGGTGTAAGGAATTGATATGTATCCATGTAA